TAGCTCCTGGGCCAACGCCAGGAGCTTCTCCGTCACCATCGCGTCCACCCCTTCGCCGTCCATCCGCGGGAAAGCCGCTTTTGCGAGGGCCAGGAGAGCCGTGCGATACGCCAGCGGTGGCTCCTTCTGGCCCCTGCACCGCTCGTGGAAGAGTTTGCGGCAGTCCGACGATGGCCCGTAGACTATGGTGAGGACCTGGAGCGCCGACTGTAGCGTAGATCGCGTTGATCTGGGAGCTGTGATGAGCGTAGCAAGGGCGTCATCGTCCAGCATGGCCGGTAGCGCACTCAACGCCTCGTTGTCCGTCCAGCCGGCCATCTCTTGATGAGCGAGAAAGCGGCGTTGAAAGGCCCCCCAGTCGCCGCCGTCTGAAACGAACTCCTTCAACACCGGCAGGCGTTGTTGAAACGATGGCTTCGTCTCTGAGAGGTGCCGCGCGCCATTTCCGGCCTCTCCACCGGTGTCTGAGGGGCTGGGGACACCCATCGGCGGTCGCGCAGGTGATGACGATGCGCCCGCCGATTGGTCCTGACAGCGGGCGTCCGTTGGTGATGACGTCACCACCGCTGATTGGCCCACAGCGTCCACGTGGCGCTGCGACCCTCCAATCGCCGTGGCGGACACTGTCATGGCGGCAAATCCGAAATCTGGTGGCTGTGTTTCGGCGGGAATGGCCGTTGAACGGCGTTCGTCTCTCTGCCGCCTTTGCGCCCGCAGCCCCGCGCGGTTGATTTCCTCCAGCGTGGAAGCCGCGGCATACAGCAGCTCAGCCAGTCGAGAGTGAGCCGCCTGCAACCCGTCCTCCATCGGCGGCCACTCCTCCAGCGGCGGCTGCTGTTGGGGCGTCTGGGACATCCCAGGATCGTCGACCGCGGCCTCTGGCGCAATCCCAGGCGAGCCGTCCTCCTCCTGGGGTTCCTGTGATCGGTTTGTACTCCTTGTGTCCATTTTAAGACCACTTCTGACACCAGTTGTAGTGGGTTCCAGGACACGGAGACGGCAGAATAGAAGCAGCACTATTTATTTAAACCTTAACAAGGGTTACACTAGAAGGGGTAGCGGCCCCTCCACCCGTATAACTCAGGAACACACCCCAGGCTCTCTGGCCTAAGCTCTAGGCTCCCAGTTCCTCCTGGTAGGGCTCTAAGGGAGGCTATCAGATCCGGCCCTGGTTAGGCACAGATCTCGGCACCCCGCCGACCAGACCGGCCCTTAGAAGGACTCTGACTCTGGGGCTCTGGGGCCGCACCACTGGCTTGCTGTGCCGGCCCTGAAAAGGGCAGCGGTCACAGGAGTTCCAGGGTCTCACCTAGCTGGCCTTCTTTCTTCACTGGTTGCTTCAGCCTCGGGCCCCACACTCTGCCCCGAGCTCCCTGGCTCCCCGCACTTTATACCCACTGGAGCCTTAGCGGACGTTGTTGTAGCCACCAAGGTGTGGGTGAACCACACCTTCCCGTGTCATGTGTTTATTCCCCATAGCACCCCTACATATGCAATGGCAGAGATTAGGGGTTAGTAAAGTACAACCATAACCACACTCATATAAACAGAAATCTATGCATTGATTTATATGAAGACAAGTCTAGATATTGTGGCCAAGGTTCAGCAAATTGTTGTTTTTATTTACATAGCATAGCAAATTATTTAACAGCATATATTGGGGGGGGGGGACATTTTGAGCAAATTTGAATATTGGGGGGGATGTGTGTCCCCGAATATATATTATTATTACGGCCTTGGGGTCAGGCAAGGTTAACGTTGGCCACTCTCGCCTCCACGAGTGGGACGTGAGAGAGCAGCAGCCCAAACTGTGACGGTCGTCCCACGAAATGAAGGCCCCTGAGAGAGAGAGGGAGAGATCCGTCACCCACGTGGTGGTGGCAGCACAACCACTCACTCTCAGCATCTCCGATTAGCACGGTTGGTTATGTGCGGCGCGAAAGAAGTTCAACATGCATACATACTAAGAATATAAGAATATGCATACATACTGCTCACAGACTCAACACTGGCCACAGACTCAACACTGCCCATAGACTCAACACTGCCCATAGACTCAACACTGCCCAAAGACTCAACACTGCCCACAGACTCAACACTGCCCACAGACTCAACACTGCCCACAGACTCAGCACTGCCCATAAACTCAACACTGCCCACAGACTCAACACTGCCCACAGACTCAACACTGCCAATAGACTAGCACTGCCCATAGACTCAACACTGCCTATAGACTCAACACTGCCCACAGACTCAACACTGCCCATAGACTAAACACTGCCCACAGACTCAACACTGCCCACAGACTCAACACTGTCCACAGACTCAACACTGCCCATAGACTCAACACTGTCCACAGACTCAACACTGCCCATAGACTCAACACTACCCATAGACTCAACACTGGCCACAGACTCAACACTGTCCACAGACTCAACACTGCCCACAGACTCAAACTGCCCATAGACTCAACACTGCCCATAGACTCAACACTGCCCACAGACTCAACACTGCCCATAGAGTCAACACTGCCCACAGACTCAACACTGCCCATAGACTCAACACTGCCCACAGACTCAACACTGCCCATAGACTCAACACTGCCCATAGACTCAACACTGCCCAAAGACTCAACACTGCCCCAGACTCAACACTGCCCACAGACTCAACACTGCCCACAGACTCAGCACTGCCCATAGACTCAACACTGCCCACAGACTCAACACTGCCCACAGACTCAACACTGCCAATAGACTAGCACTGCCCATAGACTCAACACTGCCTATAGACTCAACACTGCCCACAGACTCAACACTGCCCACAGACTCAGCACTGCCCATAGACTCAACACTGCCCACAGACTCAACACTGCCCACAGACTCAACACTGCCAATAGACTAGCACTGCCCATAGACTCAACACTGCCTATAGACTCAACACTGCCCACAGACTCAACACTGCCCACAGACTCAACACTGCCCACAGACTCAACACTGAGTGAGTGTGGCTGGGTGAGTGTGGCTGGGTGAGTGTGGGTGAGTGTGGCTGGGTGAGTGTGAGTGTAGCTGGGTGAGTGTGGCTGGGTGAGTGTGGCTGGGTGAGTGTGGCTGGGTGAGTGTGGGTGAGTGTGGCTGGGTGAGTGTGAGTGTAGCTGGGTGAGTGTGGCTGGGTGAGTGTGGCTGGGTGAGTGTGGCTGGGTGAGTGTGGGTGAGTGTGGCTGGGTGAGTGTAGCTGGGTGAGTGTGGTTGGGTGAGTGTGGCTGGGTGAGTGTGGCTGGGTGAGTGTGGGTGAGGCTGGGTGAGTGTGGCTGGGTAAGTGTGGCTGGGTGAGTGTGGGTGAGTGTGGCTGGGTGAGTGTGGCTGGGTGAGTGTGGCTGGGTGAGTGTGGCTGGGTGAGTGTGGGTGAGGCTGGGTGAGTGTGAGTGTGGCTGGGTGAGTGTGGCTGGGTGAGTGTGGCTGGGTGAGTGAGTGTTAGTGTAGCTGGGTGAGTGTGGCTGGGTGAGTGTGGCTGGGTGAGTGTGGTTGGGTGAGTGTGGGTGAGTGTAGCTGGGTGATTGTAGCTGGGTGAGTGTGGCTGGGTGAGTGTGGCTGGGTGAGTGTGGCTGGGTGTGGCTGGGTGAGTGTGGTTGGGTGAGTGTGGGTGAGTGTAGCTGGGTGAATGTAGCTGGGTGAGTGTGGCTGGGTGAGTGTGGCTGGGTGAGTGTGGGTGAGTGTAGCTGGGTGAGTGTGGGTGAGTGTAGCTGGGTGAGTGTAGCTGGGTGAGTGTGGCTGGGTGAGTGTGGCTGGGTGAGTGTGAGTGTGGCTGGGTGAGTGTGGGTGAGTGTGGCTGGGTGAGTGTGGGTGAGTGTGAGTGTAACTGGGTGAGTGTGGGTGAGTGTAGCTGGGTGAGTGTGGCTGGGTGAGTGTAACTGGGTGAGTGTGGGTGAGTGTAGCTGGGTGAGTGTGGCTGGGTGAGTGAGGCTGGGTGAGTGTGGCTGGGTGAGTGTGGCTGGGTGAGTGTGGCTGGGTGAGTGTAACTGGGTGAGTGTGGGTGAGTGTAGCTGGGTGAGTGTGGCTGGGTGAGTGAGGCTGGGTGAGTGTGAGTGTGGCTGGGTGAGTGTGGCTGGGTGAGTGTGGCTGGGTGAGTGTGAGTGTGGCTGGGTGAGTGTGGGTGAGGCTGGGTGAGTGTGAGTGTGGCTGGGTGAGTGTGGGTGAGGCTGGGTGAGTGTGGGTGAGTGTGGCTGGGTGAGTGTGGGTGAGGCTGGGTGAGTGTGAGTGTGGCTGGGTGAGTGTGGGTGAGGCTGGGTGAGTGTGAGTGTGGCTGGGTGAGTGTGGGTGAGGCTGGGTGAGTGTGGGTGAGTGTGGCTGGGTGAGTGTGGGTGAGGCTGGGTGAGTGTGGGTGAGTGTGGCTGGGTGAGTGTGAGTGTGGCTGGGTGAGTGTGGCTGGGTGAGTGTGAGTGTAGCTGGGTGAGTGTGGCTGGGTGAGTGTGGGTGAGTGTGGGTGAGGCTGGGTGAGTGTGGCTGGGTGTGAGTGTGGCTGGGTGTGAGTGTGGGTGAGGCTGGGTGAGTGTGGGTGAGTGTAGCTGGGTGAGTGTGGGTGAGTGTGAGTGTGGCTGGGTGAGTGTGGGTGAGTGTGAGTGTGGCTGGGTGAGTGTGGGTGAGTGTGAGTGTGGCTGGGTGAGTGTGGGTGAGTGTGGGTGAGTGTGGGTGAGTGTGGCTGGGTGAGTGTGGCTGGGTGAGTGTGGCTGGGTGAGTGTGGCTGGGTGAGTGTGAGTGTAGCTGGGTGAGTGTGCCTGGGTGAGTGTGGGTGAGGCTGGGTGAGTGTGGGTGAGTGGGTGAGTGTGGGTGAGTGTGGCTGGGTGAGTGTGGGTGAGTGTAGCTGGGTGAGTGAGGCTGGGTGAGTCTGGGTATCAATACAACTGTCAGCAATGAGCTCGAGGTGTGGCGACGGAGACTCAGCGGGTCGAACCGGTTTCAGAGAGCAGCTCGACCCACACGCGGCTCCGTGCATCGAGTGGACGTGACCCACCCCGTTGTTTACAGTGTGGGGGAGAATTCAAAATACAATGCACACTCACTCATCCAGCAGTGGAGTTGCTCGATGGCTTGTGCGCCTATAAATCCGGCAGGGGCGTGGTGAGCGGTGGTGAGCGTGTGGTGAGTGATGTGCTGAATGATTGGGCAGTGGTTGGTAATGTGGTGAGCGATAGTGAGTGATGGTGGTCAGTGGCGGTGATAAGGTGAGTTGGTGGTGAGTGATGGTAGGTGATGTGGTGAGTCCTGGCGAGTGATGGTCAATCACGATGGTGACTGCTTGGGGGGTGGTGAGTGACGTGGTGAGCATTCCTCACCAACCCGGCGTGACATCACGTACCTGCGTCACGTGACGAAGTGCTGCCACACCTATGGTGGATGTGACGTCACTCGCACCGAGTTCCCAGGTAGGTGCCGTGCGTTCATGTCCGTGTGGCGCGTAAACATCGCCACTGGGGAGACAAAGGCGGCCGGGCGTGCTGCTGGTCGTTCACCCCCGTGCGCCGTGCCGGCCTTCATAGGTGCTACTCGCTAACAGCACTTTCCCCCAACAGTCTGTTAAGGCTACACGGGGTGTCTTTGTCTTTGTGCCTGTATACGTGTGCGTATAAATATTTGTATAAGGGTAAGTGCGTGTATTTACAGGTGTGTGTGTTACAGGTGTGTGTGTTACAGGTGTGTGTATATGTTACAGGTGTGTGTGTATTACAGGTGTGTGTATTACAGGTGTGTGTGTGTCTGTTACAGGTGTGTGTGTATAACAGGTATGTGTATCTGTTACAGGTGTGTGTATAACAGGTGTGTGTATCTGTTACAGGTGTGTGTGTGTGTATTACAGGTGTGTGTATTACAGGTGTGTGTGTATTACAGGTGTGTGTGTATTACAGGTGTGTGTGTGTATCTGTTACAGGTGTGTGTGTGTGTATTACAGGTGTGTGTGTGTTACAAGTGTGTGTGTATCTGTTACAGGTGTGTGTATTACAGGTGTGTGTATCTGTTACAGGTGTGTGTGTGTATTACAGGTGTGTGTGTGTCTTTGCATGGAGTAGGAGCGGTGGCGTTGCAATTAGCGCACTGCGCTACGAACCAGGCAATTCCCGCTCACGGCCACCAACATCAGTGACGATTATCTGAACCGGTCCTGGGCCTCCCCTAGGTCGACTCAGCCGCACATGAGTGCCTGGCGCGGTGTTAAGTAAACATCGCCACTGGGGAGACAAAGGCGGCCGGGCGTGGTGCTGGCCACCCACCCCCTTGTGTGCCGTTCATAGGTGCGACTCGCGAACAGCACTTGCCCCAACAGTCTGTTAAATCTATACGGGTGATCTTTGTCTTTGTTTATAGCTGCATGTGTGTTTACAATGTGTGTGTTTACAATGTGTGTGTTTATGTATTTACAATATGTGTGTGTTTACAGTCTGTCTGTGTGTATAGCTCCGTGTGTCTGTGTATTTACAAGGCGTGTGTCTGTTTATAGCTATGTGTGTATGTTTACAATCTGTGTTGATGATGTGTGTGTTTACATGTCTGTGTGTGTGTAGCTGTATGTGTCTGTGTGTTTACAAGTCGTGTATTTGTCTGTTAATAGCTATGTGTGTATGTTTACAATCTGTGTTGATGATGTGTTTACTTGTCTGTGTGTGTGTAGCTGTATGTGTCTGTGTGTTTACAAGGCGTGTGTTTGTCTGTTAATAGCTATGTGTATGTTTACAATGTGTTGATGATGTGTGTGTGTGTGTTTACATGTATGTGTGTGTATCCTTGAGTGTGTTTGCAGTTATCTCTGATTTATAGTGGGAAGCAGTCGTGTAGTTTCGATTTAAAGCTTTCGTGACTGCAATGATTCATCTTCTTTGGTTCTTTCGGTAAAGTCACGTAGAATGAGAATAAAATAATACATTGATAAAATAAAATAACACAGTCATATTCTCACGACGTTTCGGCCACAACACAAGCGGCCTTCATCAGGTGAAGGGGCGAGACTGTCTGGTAGGACAGCGCTGTTGTTAGCGTTGCCATTCCCACTCACGGCCACTACCAGTCACAATTCTCTGAATCGGTTCTGGGCCTCCCCTAGGTGGACTGCTTCAAATTAGTACCTGGTGCGATGAGTAAACATCGGCACAAGGGAGACAAAGGCGGTCGGGCGTGGTGCTGGCCACCCACCCCCTCGTGTGCTCGCTAATAGCACTGGTCCCATAAGTATGTTACAGATATCCGGGGCATCTTTATATTTTGTATGTGTGTGTGTGTACGTATGTCATTGTATGTTAATGTATTTGTGCGTGAACGAGTGTGTGTGTGTGTGTTCGGTTACGTGTCTGTGTTGACAGGTGTTGTTACAAGAGTGTGTATTGTGTAGCTATGTGATGGCGCCTGTGCATCTAGGTGTGTTTGTGGAAAGTTCTGTATGTGTGTATGTGTATAGGTCTGTATGTATGTGTGTGTATGTATATATTGTGGGGAGCGATAGTGTAGCGGTTAGCGCGCTGCGCTATGAACCTGGCGACCCGGGTTCGATTCCCGCTCACGGCCAACACCAGTGACGATTATCTGAATCGGTCCCGGGCCTCCCCTAGATCGACTCAGCCTCAAATGAGTACCTGGTGCGGTGTGTAAACATTGCCACTAGGGAGACAAAGGCGGTCGGGCGTGGTGCTGGCCACCCACCCCCTCGTGTACCGTTCCGGCCTTCATAGGTGCTCGCTAACAGCACTTGCCCCTACAGTCTGTTAAGGCTATACGGGGGATCTTTTTGTATATGTGTATAGGTCTGTATGTGTGTGTATGTTTGTAGGTCTATATGTGTATAGGTCTGTGTATGTGTATAGGTCTGTGTATGTGTGTAGGTCTGTATGTGTATAGGTCTGTGTGTATAGGTGTATGTGTATGTATGTGTGTAGGTCTATACGTGTATAGGTCTATATCTGTATAGGTCTGTGTGTGTATGTGTGTGTGTAGGTCTATATGTGTATAGGTCTGTGTGTGTATGTGTGTAGGTCTATATGTGTATAGGTCTGTATGTGTATGTGTGTATAGGTCTGTATGTGTGTAGGTCTATATGTGTATAGGTCTGTGTGTATGTGTGTGTGTATGTGTGTGTACAGTGAGGGAAAAAAGTATTTGATCCCCTGCTGATTTTGTACGTTTGGAAACTGACAAAGAAATGATCAGTCTATAATTTTAATGGTAGGTTTATTTGAACAGTGAGAGACAGAATAACAACAAAAAAGTCCAGAAAATCGCATGTCAAAAATGTTATAATTTGATTTGCATATTAATGAGGGAAATAAGTATTTGACCCTTCTGCAAAACCTGACTTAGTACTTGGTGGCAAAACCCTTGTTGTCAATCACAGAGGTCTGACGTTTTTTTGTAGTTGGCCACCAGGTTTGCACATATCTCAGGAGGGATTTTGTCCCACTCCTCTTAGCAGATCTTCTCCAAGTCATTAAGGTTTGGAGTCTGACGTTTGGCAACTCGAACCTTCAGCTCCCTCCACAGATTTTCTATGGGATCAAGGTCTGTAGACTGGCTAGGCCACTCCAGGACCTTAAAGTGCTTCTTCTTGAGCCACTCCTTTGTTGCCTTGGCCGTGTGTTTTGGGCCATTGTCATGCTGGAATACCCATCCACGACCCATTTTCAATGCCCTGGCTGAGGGAAGGGGGTTCTCACCCAAGATTTGACGGTACATGGCCCCGTCCATCGTCCCTTTGATGCGATGAAGTTGTTCTGTCCCCTTAGCAGAAAAACACCCCCAAAGCATAATGTTTCCACCTCCATGTTTGACGGTGGGGATGGTGTTCTTGGGGTCAAAGGCAGCATTCCTCCTCCTCCAAACACGGTGAGTTGAGTTGATGCCAAAGAGCTCCATTTTGGTCTCATCTGACACTTTCACCCAGTTGTCCTCTGAATCATTCAGATGTTCATTGGCAAACTTCAGACGGGCATGTATATGTGCTTTCTTGAGCAGGGAGACCTTGCGGGCGCTGCAGGATTTCAGTCCTTCACGGCGTAGTGTGTTACCAATTGTTTTCTTGGTGACTATGGTCCCAGCTGCCTTGAGATCATTGACAAGATCCTCCCGTGTAGTTCTGGGCTGATTCCTCACCGTTCTCATGATCATTGCAACTCCACGAGGTGAGATCTTGCATGGAGCCCCAGGCCGAGGGAGATTGACAGTTCTTTTGTGTTTCTTCCATTTGCGAATAATCGCACCAACTGTTGTCACCTTCTCACCAAGCTGCTTGGCAATGGTCTTGTAGCCCATTCCAGCCTTGTGTAGGTGTACAATCTTGTCTCTGACATCCTTGGAGAGCTCTTTGGCTTTGGCCATGGTGGAGAGTTTGGAATCTGATTGATTGATTGCTTCTGTGGGCAGGTGTCTTTTATACAGGTAACAAGCTGAGATTAGGAGCACTCCCTTTAAGAGTGTGCTCCTAATCTCAGCTCGTTACCTGTATAAAAAGACACCTGGGAGCCAGAAATCTGTCTGATTGAAAGGGGGTCAAATACTTATTTCCCTCATTAAAATGCAAATCAATTTATAACATTTTTGACATGCGTCTTTCAGGATTTGTTGTTGTTATTCTGTCTCTCACTGTTCAAATAAACCTACCATTAAAATTATAGACTGATAATTTCTTTGTCAGTGGGCAAACGTACAAAATCAGCAGGTGATCAAATGCTTTTTTCCCTCACTGTAGGTCTGTGTGTATGTGTGTGTATGTGTGTATGTATAACTATGCGCGTGCGTCCGTGTGTTGATGACGTCAGTCACGGAAGAGATTTGTGGTTTAGGCATTTGGTTCGTGACAACCACAGGTGTATACAGGTGTGTGTGTGTGATACAGGTGTGTGTGTGATACAGGTGTGTGTGTGATACAGGTGTGTGTGTGTGTGATACAGTTGTGTGTGTGATACAGTTGTGTGTGTGTGATACAGGTGTGTGTGTGTAATACAGGTGTGTGTGATACAGGTGTGTGTGTGTTATACAGGTGTGTGTTATACAGGTGTGTGTCATACAGGTGTGTGTGTGTGTGTGTGATACAGGTGTGTGTGTGTGTCATACAGGTGTGTGTGTGATACAGGTGTGTCATACAGGTGTGTGTCATACAGGTGTGTGTGTGATACAGGTGTGTGTGTGTGTGATACATGTGTGTTATACAGGTGTGTTATACAGGTGTGTTATACAGGTGTGTGATACAGGTGTGTGTGTGATACAGGTGTATGTGTGTGATACAGGTGTGTGTGTGATACAGGCGTGTGTGTGTTTGATACAGGTGTGTATATACAGGTGTGTGTGCGATACAGGTGTGTGTGTGTGATACAGGTGTGCGTTTATATACAGCTGTGTGTGTGTGATACAGGTGTGTATATACAGGTGTGTGTGTGAGATACAGGTG